CCTAGTGTTTGCTTTGCAAACATCTGTGTCTTGTATCTATTCTGTAGAGTTGCACTTTAACACTGTAATGAGATACTAGCTTGCCTGATATGAGAAAAGTAACTATTGGGTACTTATTTGCTAGCCTGGTTGCCTAATCTTTTTTTTTTTAATTAATAAGGTTTAAACTTTTTTTCCTAAATCTTTAAGATGGGTATTCACAAATAAGGTTGCAGTGAGGCAGGACGGGCAGGGAGAAAACTAGTCTTGAGAGTGTCTTTGATTAAAACACAAGACTAAGATTTGAAGATTTGTTTTTACTTTTCCTCATTATTTTCCTGTCATTATCGTTGAAAAAAAAAAGGTTGTTTTGTTTTGTTTGGCTTCGTTGGTGACTCCTGACCTACTTTTGGGATGTAGCCACAGTATGTTTATCTCTGCCTTTGGGTAAATGGCTGATGAGGAAGATGAAGATGGTCAAGCTCACATCTTTATCAGCACTCCTTCCTCTGGAGCAGTTTTAAAAGATGGAATGGCTCAATGTGGAGTGGGATGTAGGAAAGGAACAACAGCGATGCTAGCTTACTCCAGAGTTGGAAGTGAGCTAGCCGCCTCTTTACGAGAGTTCTCATTTGATGAACTTCTATCCCAAGACAGGCATTATCAACTCCTCTTGCTCAGAAGCAGAAGTCAGATGGCTTGACCTTGCCTCAAATCTACCACCACTTGGGGGCAAAGCCTGAGCCAGTCTGGCTCCTCCTGTCTTTCTCTCTGGGCTCTCCACCACAACTGGGCTGCATCACAAGGGGGGAAGGGAGGTGGAATAGGAAAATGTCATCACTTTCTCAATAAGGGTACCAGTTAGGACCCAGGAAAGAAGAACTACAGGTTCTTGGCTTCATTTCAGTTACCAACCATGTGCACACATATGAGCACACACACACACACACACACACACACACACACGCACGCACGCACGCACGCACGCACGCACGCACGCACGCACACACACGCACACGCACACGTGCGCACACACACGCATGCACATACACAGGCAGTTCTTCCTGAACTGTAAATGTCTTCCAGAGCATCTGGGGGCTTTTCTTAAAGGTCACCCAACAGGCCTTGAAGGAAAGAAGGGCTTGATTGAAAAAGTCTTGTTTCCTCTCACTTTTTAAACATTGGAAAATCCATTTGGCTGCAAGAAATGAATAGTAAAAGAATTCTAACTACCCAGAGCCAATAAAGGGTAATGGAAAAAGGCAGGAATATGGCTGGACTCTATTTTCTTTTCACTGAACACATCCTGTCTTTAATCTGGAAGGTAAATAGGCCATGCCCAACATACCAACTCTTTCCAGGTGAAATTATCTAGGTTATAAAAACAAGCAACAACTGTGCCCTCATTATCCTTCATTCATGGCTGACAGGAACAGTATCCAAAGCAAACCAGAGGTGAGGCAAGTACTGCCCGCAAAAGAGCCAATCCATGATTTCCACCACTTTGAAAACTGACTTTTGTAATTTTTTCCCCTTGACTTAAACTGTCCAGAATTATCTGAAAGAACAAGTTGCAGTAGCTATAAATGAGTCAGGTGTGATGGCTAAGGCTGCACTCTTAGTCCTTGGGAGGCTGAGACAGGAAGATTGTTCAAGAACAACCTGGGCTATCCACCAAGTGTGAGGCTAGCCAAGGCTATACAGCAAGGCCCTGCCTCAAAAAAAGGAGAGAAAAGATCCAGAAAAGATGTGGTTTGAAGGAAAATGACCGCCAAAGACTCATAGGGAGTGGTGCTATTAGGAAGCGTGGCCTTGCAGGAGGAAGTGAGTCGCCAGTGGTGGGCTTTGAGGTTTCAGAAGCCCAAGCCCAGTGTCATTCTCTCTTCCTGCTGCCTGCCAATCTGGATAGAGAACTCTCAGCTCCTTCTCCAGCACTGTCTGCCTGCCTGCTGCCATGATTCCCACCATGATAATAATGGGCTAAACAAACCTCTGAACTGTAAACCAGCCCCAATTAGATACTTTTCTTTATAAAAATTGCTGTGGTCATGATTTCTCTTCACAACAATAGAAACCCTAAATAAGACAGAAGTGAAGCTTGGATTTTGATGTTTCCATTATTTGTATTGACAAATGAAAATAAAGAAAAAAGGAAAGAGAAACTCTCTTCATTCCACCTATTGTTAATTTACAACCTTCCTGAGATATTTAGCCTTCAGAGCACAAGAAATAATTCCACAGTTTCTCTCATTATAATCCTAACATATCTACCCCTTTGACTCCATAGTGCACCTAAAGCTTTCATCCATATAATGAGGACTGTGCCCACATCTGTATCCTCAACTTCCTTACTTTATGCTGCACGTTCTTCTCCATATTAAAACCAAGCATGGGGCTCAACAGAAGAAACCACCTCCACAGGCAGAGCTTCTTAAGGGATGTTTATTGGTAGTGAAATGCTCTGTACCCCTTTCTCTGATGTCGTTTAGAGCCAGGATTACCTACATTAGATGGTCTAAAGCAGAATCTTCAGAGCACCTGTCGTGGGCAAATCAATATGTTAAAAAGCATCAGGGGCTGAAGAGATGGCTCGGTAATTAGGAGCACTGGCTGCTCTTCCAGAGGACCCTGGTTCAAGTCCCAGCACCCACATGGTAGCTCATAACTATCTGTAACTCCAGTTCTAGGGAACTGCCTTGAGCACTGGGTATACATGTGATACACAGGCATACATGAAGGAAAAGCACTCATACCAAAAAAGAAGGAGGAGGAGGAGGAGGAGGAGGAGGAGGAGGAAGAAGAAGAAGAAGAAGAAGAAGAAGAAGAAGAAGAAGAAGAAGAAGAAGAAGAAGAAGAAGAAGGTGGCAGAATCTGGCAACTGAACCCAAGTCCTTTGCAAAAGCAGCAAGTGCTTTTAAACAATGAGCCATCTCTCAAGCCCCTAGAACACTTTTTTGGATAAAATGAAGAAATAAATCTCTAAAAGTAAAATATGTTCAAGTAGTACTTCAGGCAGGTCCGACTCTAATTGCAAATTTACAGGCACTAATGCAATCACACACATCCAGTTTACTGCCTTAGTAGCTCATAGGTAATGAGGTATCAGGAGGCCAGGGAAGGCTAATGCTTATAGGTACAAAAACTCCCAGAAAATGGAGAGTACCGAAAATATCAAGCCATGTGACTTTCTGCTTCTGAGCCCTCTGTAACAAGGAAGTATGAATCTAGCTGACAGAATAATGCAATTATTCAAACTCCAGCTCCCAAATCGCAGAAGAAATGAGAAACAGTGGTACTGTTTTTAATTAGGAACTAAAATCTATTGAAACAACAGTGTGTCAACATTAGCTTCTTGTAAAGATGAAATGCAGCCTTTGGCTTGCTATTCTTTTCCCAGCACTGACATACAAGCTTGAATGAATCCTGCACTATAAACTCTCACAGAAAAAAATCGAATCGCATATCCTGCCCTTAAACACCAGGCACCCTCAGAGGAAAACTTTCATCCTGGTTCACACTAAATGTTGCCTCTGGTTTGTGTTCCTAGGAGAGGGGAGAGTCAAAAAAAAAAAAAAAAAGACAGAGAAGCCATTGCTTCTGACAGACGGGTTCAGAATCCAAGCAAGACCAAAGGAAAATAGTCGCCCTGGGATGGTGACACCTCTTCCTCCCTTTCCTTAAAGCAACACATACTGGCAAGATGAAGTAACATCAAAGTGACTCCTAACCCCCTAAAGCTCAGTGTCTTCCCTGGACCCACCCCACCCCCTCTATTGGACTCTGCTTTCCTCCCAAGCCCTGTCTCCTAGTCTTCTGTAACTCTCCTGTTTTCTATGCAACCCTCTTCGGTGGATTATGACAGTGACTCTCAACTTTCCTAATGCTGTGACCCTTTAATCAGTTACTCACATTGTGGTGACCCTCAACCATACAATTATTTTCATTGCTACTTCATAACTGTAACTTTGCTACTGTTATGAATTATAATGTAAATATCTGATATGCAGAATATCTGATATATGACCCCTGTGAAAGGGTTGTTTGACCCCCAAAGGGGTCATGACCCACAGGTTGAGAACCTCTGAATTATAAGTTCCTAGGAGCAGAGATCTTTTCTGGGTTTTGTTTCTATGGCTGAGAATTCCTGGTGCCCTAGAACAGTTCCCAGGACACATGTGCTGCCTGACAGCTGCCTGTTGGATGAATAAATGGTGTCATCCTTTGCTGTCTTTCAGTCCTATGAGAACCTTTCCTTCTGGCTCCTGTCTTGATACATTAACCAAGCATCCTTCAAGGAAACCAGTAACATAGGTGACAGGAATTGATAACAGACATCACTCAAAGAGGCAAGTTCATCCCTGGACACCCATGTCACTGTCGTTGCTATTGACTAGAGCAGAGGAAGAATTATTCAGCACATCTTAGAAGAATAGAAAATATGAAAGAATATTCATCATTATCTGATTTTTTTTTTTATCATTCACAACACCTGGTGAGCTAGAGGTGACGGTTAACTCAGACATGCTGAAAGTTTTGTTTTGTTCCTGAACTAGAATTGTCAGAATAAAAAGATTCTCCTTACTCAGTAATTATATTTCTCTGAATGTTGTGAGATGCACCTATAATCCCAGAACTCAGGAGGCTGAGCAGGAAGATCATGAGTTCAAATACAGCCTGGGCTACACAGCAAGTTAAAAGCAAGCTGGAGCTACATATGTACACACTTCCCTAGCATTTTTTAGACTCTGGGGTTATACCAAACTCTGCCTTCACCACATAACATAAAACCTAAATAAATAAATAATAATTCATTATACACATTATTTACTTAATAAAAACCACTAATCTGTTCACTATTCTTGATGCTATTTGCAAAGTGAACCGAATGTGTTGTGCTTTCCACAGCAGGATCAGACTATAGCAAATTCAATACACCACAGAAGTATATCCTGTAGCTTTCATAATTTTTCCCATAGTTCTTCATGGACTTCTCCATGGTAGAAAAATTAAGGAAAACTTACAGATGTACAGAAGATGCACTGGCATTCTTGGAGCATGGTCACCTTATCCAAAGGTTGTTCACACAGGCAGAGCTTGCAAGTGACAATGGGGACAGGAGTCAGGTCTCCGGAAGTTGGGTTTTCGGCAGTCATGGTCAGATAGTGAAGCCCGTCGATGGAGTCCATCAGTCTGTCTTCAACTTCCTCTATCCCTACAGGAAAACCCAAAGTAAGAAACGTCATTGACATCCATACAGCTAATGTCAAACACATGTATTTGGGGGTCTGGCTGGGCAAATCCTCCTCACCCTCGGTGAATTCTAAAAGTGCAGTTGATGTGTTTTCGAGAGCCGTGGATAGAGTACTGCTGATCTTGGCAAGGTCTTCTCCATGCCCTGAAATTTAAGCTGACCTCACTTCACTGTCCTGATTCCTATCATGTAAACTAGCTGTGGGAGTTAAACGATCACTAGACATCAAGGAGAAGGGATGAGGAGATGTTGGTCAAGTGCACAGTTCCAGGCAGACAGGAAGAGTAAGTTTTGGAGAACAATAGGGCAGCACAGTGACTCCAACTAATGATGATGATGACGATGGCAGTGTGTACTTGGCAATTGCTGAGAGCAGATTTTAAATGATTCTCATCAGGAAAACAGAAATAAGCATGAGAGGTGATGATTGCATTAATGATCTTGATTTACTCATTTTGTGTATATGTATACCATCTTAAAACGTCACATTGTGTATCGTTAATTATGCCTTGTAAAGCTGGCAGAGAAGATAGAAAATTAGTGCTATAAACAAACAAGCCTTCTGGGAGGCACATGTATTGATTTGAATAAGAAATGTCCCCCATAGACTTATGCATCTGAGCACCTGGTCTCCAGGTGGTTGCCCTATTTGGGGAAGTTATGAAACCTTTAGGAGGTGGAGCTTTGCTAGAGAAAATATTGGCTGTGAGAGTTTATAGCCTTACCCCACTTCTAGCTCTCTCTCTCTCTCTCTCTCTCTCTCTCTCTCTCTCTCTGTTTCCTGGGGTATCAAGGAAATGTGAGCAGCCAGCTTCCTGCCCTAGCTACCTGTAGCCATGCCATCCCTCGCCATTATGGACTCTAACCTCTGGAAGTGTCAGCCAAAATAAACTCCTTCTTCCTTAAGTCACTTCTGGTCTGGTTAAAATGGTATTTTATCAGCAACAGAAGTAACTAATACAGCACATCACTACAATCACCACAGTTCATTCAACTGGCTCAGAAAATATAAATAGGGTGTCTCTCAAATAAAAAAAAGGTTGGGCTGTAGCTCAGTGACATAGCACTTGTCTAGGATGTGTATGGGCCTGGGTTCTATCACCAGAAACACTAGAAGGAAATTATCATGTGGTCCAGCAATTTCACTACTGGACATGTGTTCCCAAAGGATCTGAAATCAGGGTCTTAAAGAGGTATTTCTAGCCGGGCGTTGGTGGCACATGCCTTTAATCCCAGCACTCGGGAGGCAGAGGCAGGCGGATCTCTGTGAGTTCCAGGCCAGCCTGGTCTCCAGAGCTACACAGAGAAACCCTGTCTTGAAAAGTCAAAAAAAAAAAAAAAGAGGTATTTCTACATCTTTGCATTATTAATATTATTCACAGAAGCATTGTTCATGACTGCCAGAAGGGAAATCAAGCTAAGCACGAATCAACAGATGAATGAACAGAGTGCAACAAGCATAAGAAGAGCAATGCAATCAAGAAACACAGTAAATACAGCAATTGTGAGGCTGCAGCTAATCCAGTAGACCACTTTGAAAAAAAAAAGTTTTATATGCCAGAAGTACACACTAAAATACTAAGAAAAGGTTTAGTGGAACAAATATATAAGCCATTGGCATAGTTTCTTATTATCATTAACCAGGATTCACTATGTGTAATTATACATGCTGTTTATGACTGGTAATGCTATGTAGGTTTGTTTATACCAGTGTCACACAAACATGGGTAATGTGTTAAGTTACAATATAATGACAGCTGTAGCTGTCACTGAGGGATGGGGATTTTTCAACTACATGAATATCTTTTAGGACCATCACCGTATACATCAGGATGAGCTTCATGACTTATATATAAATACAAGAACACTAAAGTAAGAATGAAAGAAAAATGGAGTTGATAGAAAAGGGAAAAGTCAATGGCATCTTCACTCATCCACTAGAAAGAGTCAGCAGTGACTAAAATGAGTAACAATAGATAACTTGGTTTGAAATAACTTAAAGAGGAAACTAAGCAATGATCGGCTTCCAATATGGAAGTCATGCTATTCCCGGAAAAGGCCCAATAAAGTGTTCTCATTCTGCTAATAATTAAAGACTTAGCATCCAAGAGCAGACTGAAATCAAATTAACGTACACATCAAGCTTGAGGCTTTGAAACGTCAGACTTCCCTTTAGGGTCATGTAAGAGAGAAAAATAAATGATGTCACCTCTTTCCAGTCTATGACTAGATAATGATCCGATTGGTCATCTTCTTAAGACTTCCCAGTGCACCACTCTCGAGGTCTCACCAATTTCCCTTCAAGTGTGTTTTCTCATCTGAATGCAACCAGTGAATGCATCCTAAGTAGGGCAACAGGAACTGGCACAATTCAAAATCACTGCAGACCTCAAACGTGACCCTTCAGAGCCAACTAGAGCCAGGGATGGCAGCACACATCTGTAATCCTAGAACTCAGGAGGCAGAGACAGTAGACTCTTTAGTTCAAAGTGAGCCTGGGCTACATAGTGAGATCATGTGTCAAAACTAATTAAAGAAATAAATAAGAATTTAAGATGCCAGTTGGAGGATGCTGCTGGGACCAACGCTGATTGTTCTTTAAATCTAGCCACTGCTCACTTTCTTATGTCTTTGCCTAGTATCACTTTCAAGAAGGAAACTTTATATAGGACAATTTTAAATTATTACTATTATTAGTGTGTATGTGTGTACATGCACGTGTGATGTGTGTATGTGAGTGTGGTCATGTGTGTGCCATAGTGCATGTCTGGAGATCAGAGGAGAATTTGAAAGAGTTGGTTCTCTCTTTCCAAAGTGAGTTTCAGGAATTGAACTGTGTGTTCTAGAAACCAACTCGTGTTGTAAGACTTGTACTGGAAGTGCCTCACTGTCTCCAGCCTCCCTTGTGCTGGGATTAAAAGCATGGGATCCCAAGTGCTAGGATCACATTTGTGTGAGCTCTGTTTCTGTTTTAAATAGATTCAATCTCGTGTAGCCCGAGGTGGCCTTGAACTCACAGAGATCCATCTGTCTCTGTCTCCAGAGTGCTGGGATTAAAGGTATGTACCACCACTGCCTGGTCTCTATGGCTAGCTTTGCACTCTGATCTTCAGGCAAGCTTTATTTGTTATAGCATAAACAACATATCACCACACTGACAATTTACCTCCTTTCCCTTTCAGGATTCAGGAAAAGCCTTCCTTCCAGAGAGAGCTGCCAGCTCACTGGGACTGGCCTCCTCCTGGTTTGTATGACTTGTTCTGTCTCATACCTCACACTCCTAATCTAAGATAAGAAATCGGTTTGATTTATCCACCCTTCCACTTGCAAGGTGACAATGCTAATATTACTTTTACAGTTATTCCAAATGCAACTGTGCCTCTTACTGGGTGTCCAGAGTCCCCTGGGAAAGAAGCTTGGCAGAGCCTACCAGGGCATGTTGGAAAGAAGAGAATTCTGGCAGCCACCTTCACGTTTCAACTTTCAAAGGCTTGTGGCAGGTTTCGCTTGTTTACATATGTCTAACTCCTTGGCCAGATCCTGTGAGGAAAGCAAGCAGCTTTAGACCGTTCTGTGTTGTACAAAACTACCAGGAGCGGAGAACCTTCTATGTGCTCCAAGTGTTGTTATGAGAAGCAAGTGCTGTCCGATAGGGAAGGGCAGGAGAGTCACTTCCCTCATGTGTTTTCATTAGGCTTGCCAAAGAAAGGAATACTTGAGACACTGTGCTAGAAGCACGGGTTGCATGAATTTCCATATTCCACTGGAGGCCTGAAAAAGCAATCTGCTCCTGAAACTCCGAGGGTGGTGAGAGCCGACATGCAGAGTATTTTTAACTTATGTAGCTTGTGCTTGTTTGACTATCCAGAGTCAAAGCAGTGTGTGTGTGTGTCAGTGTGTGTGTGTGTGTGTGTGTGTGTGTGTGTGTGTGTGTGTGTGTGTGTACACACGAGATAATCTAACTGGAAGGTAAAGCATTTGATTAGGGTACTAATATAGTTATTTGGGAATTTCTCTACATTATCTTACCACCTTGCAAAACATTTAGAGAATCGGACAGGGCACAATTTCAGAAACTGAGCAAAAGAGAACACCAGTCAAGTGAACCAGCTGGATATTACTGACAAACCAGAATTTCAATAATGGTCCAGCTTATCTGTACTGAGGTCTTAATTCCTAGCTACACTGCAGTGACCTGAGGTCAAGGACCAAGCAGGAGGAATAATCTCAAAATGTTGTTATGACCTAGAAAGACACCAGACCATCCTATGAGGAGGGAGCTTCCAAGAAAAGGCTTCAGGAAGGGTAGACCACGGGTGGTACAGTTCAAGTGCCAGTCTGTGCAATGGAGAGAGTCTTGGGCTTTCTCTACCCTAGTAGAACTAGTAGAATGGGAAATAGCAGCATTCTGAAGTTCACTCCCCTGCCTCATTAAGAAATCTCTTCTAATACTAGATAAGCACAACACTGAAAACTGATGTAGTTAATCCCTTGGTATTCACTTGGTTCAAAACACCCTCAGACGCCAAAACTCATAGATGCTCACATCTTACATAAAATGTCATGATATTGCATATAACCAATGCATAGCCTCCCAGATACCTTAAATAATATCTAATACAATAGAAAATCCATATGAATAATCATTATATTGTACTGTTTAGGAAAAATCTGTATAAGCTTAGTATACATGCAACTATTTTTCCCAGTTGGCTTTTTTTTTTTTTTACCAATTATTTTTCAAGGGATGGAGGGGCACAGGCTTGCCCCAGTGCCCATGTGAAGTCGAGACGGAAACTTGCAGGTGGCAGTTTCTCCTTCCACCATGTGGGTCCTGGGGATCAAACTCAGGTTGCCGGCCTTGGCAGCTCTGTGAGCCTTTATCAGCTGATCCATCTTGCTGTCCCTTCCTGAATACCTTTTAAGTTGTTTTAT